TGTCTGCCTTTTTTTTTTTTTTGACCCTCGCCTCCTCTAGCGCAGAATTGTGACGTCTGTCGCATTTGATATGGGTCGCATTTGGGCAAAGAGATCGGATTTGAGTCACATCAGCCTGCAGTGTGAACGTGGTCTTAGAATAAGTGGCTTTTGCCAACACAAATAAGATTCAAGATAAATACCAGGCATAAATACTCAATTGTTATCAGCTGAAGTACAGAACTTGCTAGCAAAATTATATTTTCTGCAGAATAGCATGTTCCACATTTTTGCATCGTTTATAAAATTTTATTTCTAAATGAAGTTATTCAAATGTAAGTAAATCAGATTGAGGAAATATTCTGATTCTTTAATTATTGTACATCGAAAACATTAACTGCGTGAACTTCATAGAGTGGTGCCTTACTTAGTGCTGACTTGTAGGACGGCTGGACATAAATTCCAGGGAGTTTCTGCTTTATCACTAGGGTGCTGCAAGTCACATGACAATGTATTAGATCAGTACAAGAGGGAAGATAATATGTATGCAAATGATATTATTTCATGGATATACAATCAAATGGATACTAAGCCCATTATGATGCCAACTATGTTTACTAGCTTTGCTGGCAAGTGCTACCAAATTAGTTTTAAAAATAACTAGTGATGCACCGAAATTAAAATTCTGGGCCGAAACCGAAAATTTAGGATGCACTTGGCCGAAAACCGAAACGAAACCGAAAATGGCTTCTTTTAAAAACTTCAAATTTTTAAAACACGCTTACTCTATAATTGTGTATGTGTGTGTATATATATATATATGAAATTACTTGAATTTGATGAATCTAAAATGAAAAACTAAAATCTAAAATATTTTTAACAATAAGCAATACCAAATAATAATAATATTCAAGTTTTATGTAACATTCAATAACAGTTTTATGTAACACAAACATTTTAAATTGCTGTGCAAAACAATGCAAAACGGTGCAAAAACAGCAATAGAACTTCCAAACAAACTGTAAACAACATAGCCTAGGTAGCTAGCAGTGCTACACAAATTTTAATGCAACTATGCAAAATTGGACTGCTGTTTAGTTCAACAAACGTGGCAGGTTTTTCTTTAGGAACAAAAGTTGCTCCGCTTTTTGGC